AATCCTTTCTCTGAGAACTCCTTCCACCACAGATCACGGACAGGAGGAGCCAGGCAGAGCTCTCCAGCCAAAGCCCTTCTTGCCAACACCTCTCCCTCGCAGGCAGCCACTGCCCAGCCCCAGCACGGCAGCGGCCACCGCCGGCGCAGGGCAGCGCTCTGCCGAGAGGATCGCAGTTACGAGCGTCAAGCAATCTGAATTTATAATTGGCTGAGATTTTACTCGGCAATAGTGCACTGCTGTCCTCGGCGCTCGCTTTATCTAGGTCAAGCCATTAGTTTTGCTCCTAATCTACATACGTTTTTAATTTGATCTTTAATGCCGATTTTCAGCCAGCGAGCCGAGCTGGCAGCCGCCTTCGCCACTGATCGCATTCAACATCTCGACCCTTCCTGAACGTGCAGAGAGGGAAAGCGAGCACCAAAATCCTGCTGCACTTTGACTACCCACAGCCAAGCTCAGGTGCCACCAGTGCCCGAGCTGCCCACCAGGCTGGGGAAGCAGAGGTCAACGCCGGCAACGAGCAAGCCCAGCCCGTGCTGCAGCAGGACTGGTAGCCCAAGGCTGAGCGAGGACGTGCCAAGCTGCACTTGGACACTCCAAAAGACACACTCAGGTGGCACCCCAGAACCCCCGAGAGCTCATGCTGGGGGGGTTGGGCAGCCAGCGACCTGTACGGTGAGCTGCCAGGGGACAAGGGACACGGCGATGCCTTCCAACGTGCAACGTTAACCTCAGTCCACACCTTCCAAAGGCGCCACCCACTTCTTCTCCCAAATGAACCGGTGCCGCCTCAAAGTCGAGCGGGTGCTGGAGTCGCCTGCTCTGCACAGAGTTGTGCCACAAAGCGAATCCTCAGCCAGCAGCGTGACAAGCCTCTGCCTAAAGAGAGGGTTTGGCTGGGCCGGCCAGCTTGAAGGAGAGACCTCTTAATTACCCTCTTACCGGGGTAAACGCTGACGCAGATGCCACCCTGCCCGGCGACGTGAAGGGAAGGAAGGAGCACTTACTTCTCTCCCTACCCATCGCAGCTGCGAATGAACAAAAGGCACAGCACAAGGTAAGCACTTCTGGCTGAAGAGAAGTGTCTGTCAGCGCAGGATGACGCATGAATATTTCAGCACGGGTCTCGGCACCACGCGTCACATTGCGGCAGGACCCGCTCAAATAGGTCACTACGAGCAAACGCCGAAACCTCGAAGCAAGCAGAAAACACGGGCAGAAGCACCTCTCTCGCTTGCCCTCCCTCTGGGTGCCCCTCGCATCACCCACTCGCCTGTCCTCACCCCCACTGCTCATCCTGGCGGGACGCTACGGCCGAGTATTTCATCTCCTGCATCTACAGTTCTCGGAGTGCTTGAGTGCTGGGAAACAGCCACTCTATCACAAAGCACTTTCCTACCTAAAGAGCTGTTTTGCCCTTCCCTCACGGTCTCTGTAGCTGATGAGCCTTGACACGGAGCCTTCCAAGGGAAGTGGGATGCCACTGCATCCATCCAAGCTTCAGAAAGCTCCTGGACATGCTCCCGCACCACGCAGGTGACCCCAGCACCTCAGCCTGGCATCCTGTGTGGTCCCCTCAAATTCAGATGCTCCCCAACCTGGGCTCCCATCTCACCACGAGGGCTGGGTCGCAGGTCCCACCAAGGGGAGGGGAGCTGGGAAAACCCTCTCTGTCTGTCTTAAATACAGGCGGATGCTTTCGCCACGGAAAATGTATCGGCACCAGAGGGCCAGGGTTGAAAACCACCGCGGTTTGTCCCGCGCTGTCAGCACCCCTGGTGTTCGCTCACTTCTGCCAGCGGCTGCTCGAGCTGGCAGGCAGCAGGTGGTGTCTGAGGGAAGTGCATGGCGAGCGGAGCTGCTTTTACGGACAAGCCGACCCGTGAGCTTGAGAGAACCAGGGGTGGAATTATGGCTGACAAACAGCAGGACAACCAGAAAAAGAGCTCCTTTATCCCAAAGCGATGGGCATTTTACATGAGCAACCTCGGGGCAGGTCCAAAACCTCAGCTCAGCGATGTTCACGTCTCGGATTTATTGCAGTTCAGAAAAACTACTCACACTTACTGGCTTCTTTATAATATAAACAAGTGGAGTTGAAGATGCACAACATAAAAAGCCATGATAATATGATAATGTGCGTTAAAGGGATTAAAGATGGTTCCTAAAACATTTTGAGGTGTATAATACGGTATGGACAGATTGCTGTAGAGCCTCTGAGTGAAAGCCACGCTGCAGGCATGCACTAGAGACTTCTGATGTAAAACAAGCTGGGAGGGGAAGGGGAGCAATGGGAGACGGTTTGGGGTTTAGACACAACAGTACGGTTTTCAGGCATTCCGCTCTTTTAAAGAGAAAAAAAAATAAATTCCCCGCCAAAGATTTCTGTGGAAAGCACAGCCTTTTTGATAAAATGAAGTTACTCAGTTCAAAACGCAATTTTGCATCAAAAAACCCCAACTTGAAAGGCGCTTCCAGCTCGCTCTAGTTATGGGATCAAAGCCGAAGATTAAGAGCGACTGCTCCCAGCTCGACGCCCAAGCGTACTGCGGATCTTCAAGAGCGCGCTGGCTGCGACGTCACTCACCAATCGGTGACTCGGAGAAAGAAAGGGGGGCAGAGCCCTGCCATGGGGCACGGCGTTCCCCTGTGCGGGGGGGGGGGGACCCCCCCCCCCCCCCCCCAGCCGCAGGCTCCCGGGCGGCAGCGTCCCTCCAGCGCGGCCACCCCAGTGTGTTTTTAATGATTTCAAGTATTTCAGACACTTGCAAGGATCCCAAGCGTTGCCAGAGCACGTGTTGTGGTCAGACGATCGACTGGGGCTGCACGAGGAAGACGACACAGAACACTAATGCAAATATTGGTGCTGCTGGTAAAGCTCGGCATTGACCCCGCGCCATTCCTGCGGTGGAGGTACAGCATGAGGAAAATCCCAAAAAGCCCAAGGGACTCACAGCCCGAGGAGGGATGGCAGACCCGTAACTGAGGTCCCTCCGTGCAGGGAACCCCGGTGGGGTGGCACCGCAGCCGCCTCTCCCCTGCTCCCCCATCCAGCTGCAGCTCCCGCCATGGGATGGGGAGCTGGGCAGAAGGAATGGCACAGAAAGAACGTTTCTAGCAGAAGAGCTTCCCTCCTCATCCAAAAATCACTGAAAACTGTTATTTAAAAGGAGGGAAGAAAAAAAAAAAAGAAAAAGAAAAAAATGGTGTTCTGGCAACCTGCAGAATTTCGCTGGTTGAAGACGCAATTTAGGTTGCCAAGGGGTTTTGCCTTCAGACAAATTTGCCTGGCTAGCTGACACGGGCCAGACTGGGGGGGAAATATTAAAAGGGTTTTAACTTCTATCCCTGGGTTTTACTGCGTGCAAACATACGTGGTCATTTCTTTCTAAGGTTTCCAATTTGCTAATTGAGACATTTCCTCATGGAAAAAGAATGTCCTGGACTAAGGATGGGGCTGCTGGCGCTGCTCGGCACACCGGGGAAGCTTAGGTGAGGCGAGATGCGAAGACAAGACAGGCACATCCAGACCTGAAGGCAAACATCAGCCGCCACGGACCCCGGACACTTTGCGGGCACACCCTGGCACCCATCGCATGTGGCAGCACCCACTGAAAGACAGACCTCGTGGCTGGAGCACGGCAGGAGACAGAATGCAGCGCAGGACACCCTACAGCTTGCTCTTCCCGCTGCTGCAGGTGTTTAAGTCACATCACCGGGCACCTCACATCGGGTTCGGGAGATTTTGAAGAAGGGCTGGTGGGAAACCAGCCCAGGAAACCGGACCCCTAGAAAGATTTCTTTCCGGGCATTGGTTTTTAAAATAAATTAAAATAAAAAAATAAATAAAAATCTGGCCTTCACGTAAAAAAAAAAAAAAAAAAGTAATTCCTCTGTATTTTTGCTAGAGTGAGAGAATTATTTCTTCTACTGTTAAAAACCACAAGATCGATTTTGTGCAAAACGCTAACAAGACAAGGAGCCAAGAAAAGCACTTTTGGGTCAGAACAAGCCCAGAACATTAAGGGGGAAAGGACCAAGGAAGAAGCAGCTGGAAACACAAGAAAGGTTATAACGGGACTATGACTGCTGCCACAGTTACAGCCTCACCAGCGTGACCTCTGATGAGACCAGCTATATTTTTTTTTAATATTAATAAAAGAGGAACTAAAAGCGTTTCGCAGACTCATGTGGAATGCACAGGGGACAGAGAGGGATTTCTAACTTTATATAGGTCAAACATCATCCATACGGGTTCACATAATATTCAGTACAACCACAGCCACTGCATAAAAATTAAGCTTCAAAGTGCTCCAGAGGGATCCCTGGGAAGTTTGCTCTCTCCTACCCGAAGAGCGGCAGAACAGCAATTCAGTTCGGATCAATACGTGCTGCAAGTGAAGGGGGCTGCAGAACGATTGCCTGTTTCTGCCGCTTCAGCTCGGGGGAAATCAGGATGGAAAACACGGGCTGTCCCTTTTAGAAAGCCTCTCTGCAGCCCAACCCGTCCCGCTCCCATCCTCCAAGAGGGCTTGAATGGGCACGGCCTGAGCGCAACAGCTTCGGGGGATCGTGCTCACAGGTCCCCCAGGCCGCTCTTTGCCACCCCAGCTCCCTCCCAGGACAGGACAAACCCCGGGGAAAAGCCACAGGGCACCTCGGTGCCCAATGCCGTTTCACTGTCCGACCGTTTGGGGAGAAGGTCCAACGCCTGGGCTTGGCGCACACACACCAGCAGGAGAAAAATAAAACAGCAAAGGCTTTGCTTTGATTGTGCAAGCGAGACCCAGCTCAGCCTCCTGGCACCTGGGTCCTGGAGGAGGCCACAAGCTGCATCCTGCAGCCCAGCCCTCTTCCAGGAGTTGTTTGGCTTAAACAAGAGGTGCTGCTTGGGGCACCCAGAACCAGCTGCTGCCCCGACAACCGCCCCTCAGCAAACACCAGCCCCTACGGACGCCCCCGCCCGCGGGCTCGCTGCGGCCGTGCCGAGTGCCTACCTTCAGCTTTTCGAAGCGATCGCTGAGGGATGCCACTTGGTGGTCCCGGTGGCGGCCCACCAGCTTACATAAGGCACAGATGAGCTGGTCGTCAGCAACACAGTACATGTTCACCTTCTCGTTCTCGTGCTCCAAGCACGTGAGTCCTCGGAAGTGCGCGTCGGGCACGGGCTCCACCAGACGGTGGCTGGTGAAGGGCTTCTTGTTGGGGTGGGTGGCCCGCAGGCAGCGGTCGCAGTAGGACACCTCGCAGGTGATGCACGTCTTCACCGCGTCCCGCGGGGGATCCTGCTCGCAGAACTGGCAGGCGATCCTCTCGCCGGCCACGGACATGGTAGGGCTGTAGGTCCTCTCGCGGCGACTCTCGCTGGGGGAGTTGGGGCCGCTCAGGGATGCCTTCTGGAAGCGGTCGATGATGTTTTGCAGGGTCACATTCCTCTTGAGGCCCTCCAGGCCCCGGTGGTTGAGGGAGATGACATAGCGGCACGTGGGGCACTGGAAGGCAGTGATGGGCTCGATGGACTCGCTGGAGGAGCAGCTGGACACCAGGATTCGGTGGGCGCAGCTGAAGCAGAGGCTGTGGGCGCACGGCAGCAAGAGAGGGTCTTCGAATAACTCCAGGCAGATTGGGCAGGTCAATTCTGACTCCAGTGTTTCCATCTTTAGTTAAAAAGATCCTGATTCAGCATCAAAAACCAGGGAAGGCAGTCTGGTACCTGGGAGGAACGAGAGCAGAGACATGAGACAGCGGCTCTCCCCAGCAGCTCCTCTCCACCAGCAACAGGCGCCCGGGGGGGTCAGACACACCACCCCTGCAACACCCCAACACTCCTTGCACCCCGACGCTGTTACTACAGCCCAGCCAGGCTCACGCAAGTCCATCGGCGCGGCTGAACCATCTCACCATACCGCCCACCTGAGCCGAGGCACCGGCTCAGACCAGCGCCCAGCGATGCTGTGGGACACGAGAGTTGTTCAGAGGGGAAGGTCAGAGGGGCAGCAGCAAGCTCCTCTCCATCGCCCTCCAGGTCAGCCAGGGAAGGGGACTTGGACGGCAAGGCTGAAGACAAAAACAGGAGAAACCACACGATTTCATGTTTCGTTTAGTGAGCGCTGCCCGAGACAGGAGTGGGGAGCCGTGCTGGTTTCCCATGCGTAAAGGCTCTGCTGCACAGCACAGATAAACCTCTAAACACCCCCTCTAGCAGCTACACAGTCCTGTCTCCTTTTGGTGAGGGGGAAAAGGTGAATCATGTCCTGGAAACTCTGAGCAAAGCAGGTCAGGAGCTCTAACATACTGTTCCCTGTGTTTCTCCCAGCCGTCGCCTTTTAGGAGCGGGGCGGGGAAAGAAGAGCAGCAAAATTACAGTCTGCAAACTTCATCTCTCAGCTGTCCTCCGCTGCACTCCAGCAACAACCAGGGCTGCCCAAATCAACTCCAGCTGGAGGCAAACAAGCTCGTATTTTTAGATCACCTCCCCTGCGCCAGGCTGGAAACGGGCTCTCTGCGAACAACCAAACCTCCTGTTGCACCGTTTCCAACCTCCGGTTTTGCAGAGCACCAAGCTGCACCACGAGCACTGGCCTGCCTCTGCCAGCATCCCAGCACACTCCCAAATGCTGTCCCCTCCATGTGCCTGCAGGCTCCCTCCGCATCCAGGCTGCGGGACAACGCTCCATCCGGGCTGGAGGACAAGCAAGCAGCGGGCACCGGGGCAGCCCGCCGACACCCCATCTTGGTAAAAACCCCGTGGAACCCGCAGCGGGCGCAGGCTGCGAACCCACCTCCAGACCTCGCACCATCTTCTGGCGGGTCTCCAAAACACCAGGGGACGATAACCACAGCCTGGCGGGCGCCAAGAAGAGAAACCGCGTGCTGCCCTCCCCAGCCCCACCACTGCCACATGCTGGGGCTGACCAGCGAGAATTTCTTTCCGAATTCACAACAAGATGGCCTCTGGGGAGGGGGACGCCTACGAGGAAAACAGCTCGGGACTGGTGCTGGTACCCCAGCAGGGGCAGAGGCAAAGCTGGGTGTCACTGCTTGCGGGCCCCTATCTCACAACGAGGGTGCCCAGCCCCAGGCAGTCACCTGTTTGTCAGGGCCCAAGACCCAGCCCAAAGCGGGCTCCTCTCTCCACCCCAACAGCCTTCACCAGGAGCGAGGTGTTGCTTTCTAGTGAAACCAAAGCCTAGTTAAAGCCTGCTGCACATCACTGCCTCTGTCCCACCACAGCAGCCACCACCAGCGACCGCTCCCGGATCCCAAATTCAGCTACAGACCCGGCAAGCCCCCATCAACCCACAGGGCGTTTTTCACCTTGCTCGCTTGCAAGCGGCGCGGCGCTGGGCGTTATCGCATCCCACCCCCATTAACCGACGAGCTCAGGCGTTGCACGATGGACGCCGGGCCAGGCTGGAGCGCTAAGCACGGCTCTGCTGCCTGCAGGCACCAACCAGCCGCCCAAAGCCCAGGCGAGGGTAGCAGAGCCTCAGTCCATGACCGTGCCCTTTCAGGGCACTAAGAGCAACAGGAGACACGAGCGGGCCCTGTTTGAGGGCGACTGCCCGTCCCGCTGCTCGCTGGGCTGGCAGCACGGCCCTTCTGCGCCTTCTCCCACCGGAGACGTGCTGGAGCCCAGTGGCAGAGCCTCTCCCTGCCACACCACAGCCTCCCCAACTCCACCCCGTGCCACCCCAAAGCCAAGGGAGGCAGCCGATGGCACGCAGTGACATGGGATGGGATTCAGCCTCTCCTTTCTCACCCGACACCCAAGGTGCCTCCAGGTCTCCTTCGGCCGTGGTGAGGCAGGCTCCGAGCGATGCCCACTGCGATGCCCACCCCACACCGCAGACACGGGGAGAGCCTCGCTCCGCCACAGCCCGGCAGGAACCCCCTCACCTCGGCGCTGCTGCAGGAGCGGACACGACAAAAAGCAACACGGTGCCCAGCCAAGCTTCCACCCCCAGTTGCCACTCCACAAACACCCCGGCAGGGTGCACGGGCTCCTGCTTGGGGAGAAGAGGGCAAACACCATGAAAAGGGGCTGTAGTAATTTCAGTGTGGGTGGGATGGAGCAGGAGACGCGGGAGAGGGTCTGGCTGCAGAAAGCCCCAGGAAGCCCCGCGGGGCAGGCAGGGGCAGCAGGGCTTTTTGCCCGAGGCTCAGCAGCCGGCGGGGCAGGAGCAGTCCCACCTTTCGCAGGTATTTCCTGACCCACCTCTGCCCACCAAGCAGCTTCAGAGCCTTGAGCCATCCGGGGCCACTCTGCTCTCACTGGTAGGCGGTGCTGACAGTCGTCCCCAGCCATGGTGGGGGACCC